GGCTAGACACGAGAAGTTTTTTTTTTTTTAATGTTGATTTTTCTCCCTTCTCAAGGAACTTGACTTTGTTAATTTAAACAACAGTGGACATGACTTAATGCAACACACACAATCCTCCCAAGACATTAAGCATCACCAGAGAGACCTAAAGGCACACTCCCGAGTCCTCTCTGTTCATCTCCTAGTGATAAGGACTTAGAGGTGTGACTGCCTTTTCCGTTTTAAGCAACAGGAAGGCACTGAGGACGATACTGCAGTTTTTCTTAAGGGAGCAGACATCTGATAAAAGAGGACAAGGTTGTAAAGTGTTTCCAAATAGACATTTCCCACTGGAATCTCTCTCTGGAGAAAGATGCGTCAGGGGACCTCAGGCATTTGCGGGTGTGAGGATGGATTAATGATCATGGTGAAGTCACCCCAAAGCAGTGTCCAACCTGTAGAACTGGAAGTCACATTTTGTGTTACAGCCTGCCAGCTCTTTAATTTGGAGGGGAAGTTCCTATTTGATGGTCCTCTTCCTCCCCACCAGGGAAACAGTAGCATGTTGGATTATGGAAAGATCAGCAGCACCGTGAAGTTCAAACTCATATGGTGGCAAAGCCATCGACAAGGTGGGGCAGACCCAACACCATGTGTCAGTCTACTGCCTCTGTACTGAATGGAAGTTTAAGTAAATCTACATGTTTTAACCTTCTGCAACCCAACACTTTTCCATGGCATTTAGGACCCTCTCAGTAGGAAACTGGTCTCATAATTTAGGACAGTCCATGGGACAATGACACTGAAAACACCTGAGTGGAGTTTAAGGTCTTCTCTGAATGGAAGAGAGCACAAGTCAAGGCTGGAAGAGCTCTTTCCTGATCGTCAGCACGTGGCTCTGGACCTGACGGGCTTCGGAGAGCCCAGCTCTCCCCTCCTCGTTCCTGGGATGCACAGGCTGAACTGCAAAGTGTCCAAGAAGGAGAAGATTCTCAAGAAGACCCCAGAACAAAAGAAGTGTGGGTTTCACAGCGGCAGGATAACCCCTTTAAACGAAAGTCTTGTTTCCTATAGAGGCGGGAAGACCATGTGCTTAAATTCTGATTCTGTCTTTTGCGTAAATCATTGCACCTCTGGAGCCCGTTTCCTCCTTTGTAAACCGAGACCGACAACCCTGCCTTAGCAATCTCACCGGAGTTTCACAACAATCTTTCCAGGGCCGCCTCCTTCTCCTCTGTTGGTCTTCCTGTCCCAACGGATTGTGAAACTACCCTCCACCTCTTCCCAGCCTTAGTCACTCGCGTTCACTTTACCCAGGCCTATTTTTTCCGCGGCATTTGTCACTGTCCGACACTATCTTGTGTTTTGAGCCTGTCTCCTCGACTTGAATGTAACTAAGCGGGCAGGGGCCTGGCACGTGAAATCCACGGCAGCTCCAGCTCCCGGTTGGTCCTGTTCACCGTTGCATCCATGGTGCCCAGGCCAGAGCCTAGCACGTAGGAGAAACTCGAGCGATGGTCAAGTGCATGCAGATCAAATGAGACAATCTGTGTGCACGAGCTTTCTGAGCTATCAAGGGCCATACAAATCCAAGCTAAATAAGACCTCACTTGAGAGTTAGGGGCCATATTTTGTCTACGTTCCAGCTGGTTTTTGATGTTTTCTTCAGCATCAGCATTATTACTAGCCTACCAAATAAATGCAATAGCCTGTTTGCCGAGTCTGGGCCATACTTTACGTGGGGGCCGGTAAGGAAAGAGTTCCCCCAAATGCTTTGTCTACAAACGATTTCTCATGCACGTCTCAAGCCAAGTTCAGCCAGACTTCAAGGACACTCATAATAACCAGACGGTCAGACATCCCACCCCAGAACTGACCTACGGATCTCATGGCCTTTAAGTGCTTCCATTAACTAAACCCAGACCAGAGTTTTGAGCCCTTGTTTCCTCTGTAATCCACGTAAGGGACAATAGCTGGCTCACCTAGACTATTTCTTAACACCCAGCGTGGATAATCAAAGCCACTCAGAATTAGCTCTCCATCTATAGTTTTCTATGGGTCGTGATGGAGATGTTGATTTTTCCAAATCACTTTCTCATCCTTAGGGCCAGAGTTGAAAACATGTCTTTGGGAAGATGAGAGCCTGGAATTTCTTGCTGGTGTCTTTGCTTCAAAAGCCAAAGCCTGATGGATTGCTCTGACTGTGCCGGAGGGCCATTCTCTGGCACGTTGGATATTTACCACCAACCTCCGCTAAACAGTCCCTGAAGGCCCTTCCATGGCTGCAGGGAGGGAGGCAGTTGGAGACATCTTTTAAAAGTTTGAAAATAAAATAGAAGGATAAATAGGCTTAAAGCTATTCGATTCCACATGGGTGGCAATAACCACCAGCTGTCACCAGGAAACAGCAGATGTAATTGATGAAACAATTCAAAACTCTTGTGGCTCCATCATCAACAAAGTTAACACCCCAAAAAGTAAATGAAAGGGTTCAGAGTAGAACTGGATAAGCTCCCCAGGTCTGCCAATAATTAAATCACTGAACTACACACAAGCATAATTTCTTAATGCAGATTCAAGAGGAGGATCAGCTGGGCAACTTGCTTTGCTGGGGTGAGGCTGGGGCACCGTATGTTGCTTATTAAATTGTCATTAGCTGAGGTGGCAGTGGTGGATGGGGGAGGTGGGGGGCAAGGGGTGTGCAGAAGACAGACCGTCATTATTTCAAAGGATATGCGGAAGCAACATTTATCCATAAGAAGGAAAGAATGAAATTCCTACCCAGATGGAGCAGGGAATGGATGGTAATATTATTCATTACTACAGTTTAGCATTAAATGCGCAACACCTACTCTAATTTATTGATGGACTGTTTAAGACGGGTGTTAACCTGTTTGTCTTGTATTATAATTGAATTCAGTCTCTAGGCTACAGAGATTTGAGAAGTTCATCCTTTCTCAATCAATATGCTCCCCTTCAGTGACCCATTTCAAGACAGCTTCATAAAAAGTAATGTATTTTGTTTTAATAAATTTAAACACTATGACAGCTGCTCAATTTTTATTGGTTGTTTTTTTCCCCCTCTTCGGATGTCTCTTTGCTGCTGAGTGAGGCCAAGCTCACAATCAATAGTAACTGATTAATCAGAATCCCCTTTGAACAAAGGTGCTAATCAGTTTTTGATTAGTTCATCAAACCAGATGCAAAGGCAGCCCAGCCCCAGCCTGAGACCATCCGCTTTCTACTTGACTTACGGCTCCCACGGAATCTGACTGCAGTGTTCCTGGAGGGGGCAGGGAGGGAAAGGGGACAGCGTAATTATTCATTTAACCAAATTATTATGAACACAAACAGTTGCTGGTTTATCGCTCCTGACTCTGGGGCGATTCACAGAACTGCAGGAAGGCTGCATCGGACTTGGTGCAGAGCGAGACCTGGAGCATCCTTAATGGATGCTGTTGGGGGAGGGGTAAACCTGATTTAGTCCTATTTTCCTAAAGAGGAGAAAAATGACTTCCGCATATCTGAGTGATCCTTGTCTGGCTAACGTGACAAGAGGGATCAGGGCTGAGGAGAACTCGGTCCCTTCTTCATCCTTGGGAAGATCCAATTGCCAGGGCCACGGTGTCAGAGAGCTGTTTTATTTATGGTCCGGATCAGAATGGAGGAGATTACTCACATCCCGCCTGACATTCTAAGCAGGGAAAAGGACTTATCTACTCTTATTTCAAAAGAAAATCAGGCTAACGTTTCTGCAATTTCTCTAAATACACCACAGATGAGAGGCAAAAATAAAACATTCCCTTGATGGCCGGCTCTCTTTCTAATCTTCTATTTATTTATCTATCTAAATTCATCAGGATTTGGAATTCATTTATTCATCCAACAAGTATCAATTGAGTGCTTAGGGCACGACAGGCATACAGCAGTGAGCAAAACCAACGTGGCCTCCTGGAGCTTCCGCTCTTCGGGGGGAAAGCCGACCGCTAAGCTCAGACGGGGACACGCTACCTAACAGAAACATAAAAGGCATCCGGGAAGCACAGAGTGGGCAATAAATCTATTGCTTTTGAAAGACAGTGGGTCTGTCTTATTCTCTCATTGGGTCTTCCTGCACCTCAACAACCAGCTATTCCAGGGAGTTGCAGCGAAGTCTCTTTAAAAAGAGGCAACGCGGATCCCTTGTTTCCAAAAGGCTGGAGGAAACATCCACAGTCCTCTGCCTTGGTTCCTCCTGACGAGGAAGGCCCCTTCCTTACTGACTTGTGAGAAGGGACCGATCAAAATGTTTCCGAAGCTGTAGCTGGCTGGCAGTGGAGTCCCATGACATCACGGGAGCTCATATAATTGTTCAGCTCTGACCATTTAAAATCTCTTCTCCCCTCCTTTTTAGGATATGCTTCTTATTCTGGATTAGTAACACCTAAATCCTGGAATCAAGCATGAAGCCTACTTTTGCAAGAGCGCACTGTGCTGTGAAAAAGGTCTGAGGTGGATAATTAGCTTACATCATGGTGTGTGACAAAACAATTGTCCCCCCTTCCTCCTTTCCCTTCCCCACCCCCTTCTTCGAAGATCAACTCTGACATGGCTTTTCTAGTCTATTCCACAGAAGGAGGTGCTCAGTAAGAGGTGTTTTTTTTTAAATAAAGATCTTGTCTCATAATCCAACATCCTTAAACAGCTTTGAAATGCAATAGATTTCTCGTGAACCATTATATATCTAGAACATAAGAATTACTTTAAGCCACTGAACAGAGTGGCTTTGGTACCATCTCAAGGATGATTTGACCTCTACTAAATTACAGCGTCAGCCCCAATGTTAAATATACGTGCTGCCACCACAGGGAAGAGAGGTGGGTGGGGAGGAAGAAAGGGTTAATAAAAACCGGTTTTTCTTCAGTCTCAAAATCCACAATTGCTAATGGACTGCTCAGCAAACCAAATGGCCATGTTCTGGAAGTGGTCGGAGGGTCCACAGGTTGGACACTGCAGAGCCTTACCTAATGACTAGCCCTTACCTGAGAGGTCCTCACTGTCCAGTTCTTCTGCGGAATTGGGCAACTGAGTAAGGCCTTACAAGTAAAAACAAATCGTTTTTCTTTTCATTCCTCAAGGGACATAAACAAAACACTTAAGAACTGAGGATGAATTTCTTTAAAAAAAAAAAAAACCATGAGCCAAATCTCTTGCCATCTCTCTCTGTTTCGGATAGCTTGACTGTATTCAGCCATGAGTACATCTCTCCAATCATTTAATTTTGTTATTGGTACACAATCGAGGCAGAAAGATTCCTCAGTCTCCACTTTCAAAGCACATGAAACATGAAGGTGAATGTTTAAACTCACTCGTTCATCACAGCATGCAAAAAGAAACAAAGAAAGCAAGCCTGATTGTTCGCTCTCAATGCTCCGACAGATTTGCTAAATACGAACGTATTTAGATGTTACATACTGATGTATGTAAGTTTTATTTCACATTTTACCGTAAATTGAAATCCTCTGCCAATACTGACAAATCCAGTTCATTATCAATTTATGATGATCTTGGATCACTTGTTTCCAAAATGGTATGGCATCTGCTAACTGCAGATTGCAGGTTATGCCTTCATCAGAAAAATCTGATTTGCAAAATGATTTTTTTTTTCAAAAAGAGAATTTCAAAAATCAGTGGTATTCCTGAAAAAATAAAAAAGCCTCAAAGCTGAAAAAGCAGTTAGGTCAGGGGACAATCAAGCGGAGCTTGAAATGCCTAGATTCAAGTCACTGCCAAGGCTGGCCAGCCGGGATGGCGCTCAGCGAGCGCTGCTTTGATGTAAAGGGTGAAGAGGGAAGTAATTAAACGATGTGGGGGCTCAGCAAAGAGATGGCTTCCACTTCCTCCCGCTGTACTTGCAGGCTGCTCCTTTAAAGAAGTTAAAAACACCGCCAAATGCTAGACAATCCAGGAGGTCTTTACCTGTTCTTTCCTGTTCTGCTCAAAGTCCTGTCCGATGTGAGCAGACCTGCTCCAGGTCCTCTAATTTGCACAGCTGGCTAATACTTCCTTAATGAGATCTGTCACTTCTGAGGATCCTTGCGGATCTATTAAACTGGAAGGAGGGGCATGTCTTGTTTATTTTTTCGTCTTTCCCTTCTCTTACAGCCAAGCACAAAGTATACTCTCAGTAAGTATTTGCTGAATCCATGATTTGAGAGTAATGCTTAGTGAACACCAACAAGAGCATAAAGAGCAACGAAAACAAATGCTCTGGAAACAAGCCATGTCAAACTGATCGTCCCCAAATCAACAGAAAGATTTACATAGAAACAGACAGTAAAAGCTTGGATTTTGTAAATTGTTGTATAAAGAAGCCAAATACATATTGATGGCCAGGTGGTGCTGTGAAAGGAAGGGTCCTACCAACTCTTGAAGAATTTCCATCTTGACTCTTGGGTGCCAGTATCCAAGGGCATGCACCAGTTATGAATGGGAGGACTTGAAGCCCACGGATGCTCCCAAACTATGGATTTAGGCAACGATGGGAAAGCAATGAGTCATGCAATAAATTATAGAGGCAACTGAGTAGGGACGCTCTCCACTCGTTCTGGAATCTGATTGGTCAAAAGTGTTCCTATTGCTAATTGGCTTTATTCATTGTATAAAGACTGATGAATACAATTATTTGAATAATTGTTATAAATGGGCAACATAAAGTACTTCTCTGTAGTTAATTATGAATTTGCAGTTCTCAGAAGGCTAATTCCTCACTTCTACGTGGCCCAATGAACATCAAAGCATTCTACGTACGTGCTTGGCACCCACTGAACCGTATTAAACGAGGATGTTTCAAGTAGGCAACTTTACTGCTGAAGGCTTGTTTCCCTGGGGAGGGCATTAGAAAGCTAATTTTAAAAAATAAAGACAAATATGTTTATGAAATATCATTGATATGCAAAGTTTCCCATTAAAAAGCAACAGACAGTTTATATACACCTCATTAAAGACGAAACTGTCATTTTTAATGGCATAAACTTTAAAATATACCAAATCATCTGGAATCTACTGCTCAGATTATATCTGAAAGTGGGAAGCCACTTAGGTTAGTGGCATCAGATTTGTTTTTGCACAACTATTGTATTTTATGAATTTATAGTGCTCCGCCAGAGTTGGATAATTTCTGAATAAATATAATTAGGAAGAGTTTACTGAAGCACTGCATGTACAGGTGAGGACAGGCAAAATTTACCTCCTAAAATTGCTTCAGCTTAGGTAGTTTTCTTTCATGATAAAAACTAGGTACTTCTCATTTTTTCAAAGAGAAAGACAAAGATGCATTTTACGAGGCAGAGAATAGTCTTCAAGAGGAAACCACAATTTACCAGTAAGTGGGAAATTACTTCCTGGCTTTTCTCTTGAAATTTTCGTATCATCCGTTAAAGCCCTTTCTTGTCACTTTGATTAAAATGTATTCAACACATTTTCTTTCAACTTTGTTAAACAAGTGAAAGTTTTGCTTCTGGTCCACAAGGGATTTTCTTTTGAGCAATTAATAAAATCCGCAGGGCAAACATGATCATTTAATACACGCCTGAGAGTCATCTCTCGTGCAGATGTGAATTTCGCTTCTTCATGAAATTACACGTTTTGCGTGAGCCCTAAGCCCCTCAGACGGGGCTATAGTTACTGTGACTCTTCCATTCCGACAGAAACTGCTGGCTTCTGAAAAGCAGTATGTACAGTGTGGCAAAATTTTAAACCAGGTGAAGGAAAACCTCAAGAATTAGAAACAGTAAGAAATACTAGAGACATTTAAATAAATTTAAGGTCAAGTAAAATTTAAATGTTCGTGGGTTCAGTTCAGCAGGGTTTCAGGTGTTTTTTTTTCTAAAAATTTCAAAAAAGAAATCATCAAATAAAACCTCTAGGAAACAAAAACATCCCACTGGTCCTAGAACCATTCCCATTAGGAAAAAGTAGGCGATGGTCTGTCTCTTACCGAAGCAGCATACATCTGATCAGTTGGCCATTTTATGGAAACTGTTACTTCCATCACCAGCCATAAGAGTTCAGACGCCCCGGGGTAGTTTTAATCTAAAAGCTCAGTCAGTCATCCTGTTCTTCCTGCTTTGTCAGCTTTGGTGGAGAGTTTTTCCCTTCGTCCCATTAGCAGAAATTTGGTTCACGCCGTTAAACAGTAGCACATTGTTTCCAAACTGCATAATCAAGGCTGAAACACAATCTGCAGGTCCTGCAGCCATTCGTAAACCTCTTTAGCCGTGTTCTTGAGTAGAACATACAATGTCTGCAGAGTCCCTTGACTGAATGACAGCCTTCCAATGCCAAGGTTGTGTACTCATACAGAGATGTGCAGAGGGGTACACACACAGATGGTGGACATAGAGGTTGTAATAATGCGCACTGCTGGCTATTTTTCTTTAAAACGGGCTTCAGGAGTTTCCCCACAATTGACGAGAAAGTAAGCTAAGGATTTCACGTGCTTTTAGAATTCCATCACGGCTTGCCCTACTTATAAAAAGAAGCCAGGGCAAGGGAGACCCCTGCGGGAGTTACTGAAGGGCAGCGGACCGGGGCAGGAGCATGTAACTAGTACTGGCCAAACATTTTGAAACCAAAACTGAAAGTGAAGAATTATTTCAGAGGGGTCCCCAGTTTGAGTCTCCCTACAATTGCATACTGAATGAAAAACTGTTTAAAAACTCATTGGGGATTATAAATTCATGAGATCATCAGCCTCGAATGTATCTAGACGTGGAAACCAAAAGGTTGGGTAGACCTGAAAATAACAGAATAGCGGGGTTGGGGGTGGGGGAGAAGGAGAGAGAGAGAGAGGGAGAGAGAGGACCCCAAACCCAGGGGGAGCCAGCTGACCGCAGTGCAGCAGAAGCACAAACACTATTCCAGACCATGGGCATGCTGCCACCCAGAACCTCACTGGGGGAGGCGGGTGGGGGAAGGGAGAGGGGACACACAGGGCAGAAAAAGAACACGGCACAAGACACTTACAGAGAAGCGCCCACGCTTGCACAGACAAATAAAAACCATCACACGCACCCACACATCAATAACCATGAGAACGACTACACCACCCGTGCTTTAAGTCACTCATGCATTTCTGCCATCAATGTCAGACCACGTGGTACCAGGATTTGGCAGAGTGCTTTTTGCATTGCTCAACATGCACACATGACACAGGAGTCTTCCTGTCCAGGCCTTAAGGATGAGCTCCAAAAACACAAATGCTCCAGATCCTTCTTCAAAGAAGATCCCTTCGGTCACCCTAGTCTGAGAATCCCATTCTGACACTCACATTTATTTCTACCATCAATTAGATCCTTAAAGACACACTGTGGCTGATTGCTGTTTGGTTTCTTTTTGGAGAAAATCCATTTGATTTTTGAATCATGCCCATGCACTTCTAACCTTCCAATACATGCTTATTCCAATCAGATATTGTTAAGAACGAAAGGTCAACATACATAAGCAACTGATTTACTTCATACATACTCTAGCAACACAAGCTTGAACAAAATATTTTAATGAGTCTTCAAAGGGAAAGCATTTTATAAAATTTTTTTTTTCGTTTTAGAAAAGAGAAATATGGAAAGAAATCCAGTAGAAAGAAACTTTTGAGATCAGTAAAATGGTCGCAACCAGCTGTCCTCGTGTGTCTTGTCATTTAAGTTGTTGAGTTATCAAACCACAACATTTTTTTAGGGCCAGATCTTCAAAATGAACATCTCAAGATTATTCTCAAATGAATCTGAGTCCCATGGTTGTTATACCAAAGCGGCTAGGTTTTACCCATACATTACTCAAATAAAATCAGTTTAGTAGGCTCATCTCTTTGGAAATCTGGTCCCTTGCTTTGTAATTTCTATACCATATTCTATTATCTTTTCTATCCTGTCAGCTGACCTGGAAGACGTTCTCCCCTCTGTCAAATAAAATTCTAGATATTGCTTTGGCTTTCGCTGAAGCTTTTTGCTGTGGGCTGCAGAGTATGCTGTTCTAAATCGTGGTAGGAGCCGTCTCTGAGGATGTTAGGAAGACGTTAGGCAAGTTGGGGCATGTATTTATAGATGTGTTTTACAGGCATCAACCTAGGTTATCACGTCTCCTGCTGTTAAGGAATCATATGGCTATTTTTACTTTCTTTTTTTCTCCCCAAATTTCTTGGCTCTAGGTTTACTTCTCATGCACTGCTGATCAATACCATCCTACTGGGGTATTACTGGCTTCAACACTGTCCCCGAACTAATAATAAGACAGTGGTTGCTTCTCACAGCACACAGGCATCTGTTTCCTGCCACAGGAATGCTAGCAAGTCCTATTCTAAGGGTCTCTTTATTATTCCACAGAAAGAGATCACCTCCACTTTCTCCTTCTCCAGAGAGAAACACCAGTATCCTAAAACCAGGATTGGCCCTTAAATTCATTTCTCATTTTTCAGGGTCAGGGGACGTATTTCCTACTATGAACACCCCACCCAACGCCCAGACCTAACCACCATTAGAGTCACATAAGTACGTGGGTTTTATTGAAGGGACCCAGAAAACAGAAGTCTGGAGTCTTAGGAGATAAAATGATCAATATTTCTTCGAAGACCTCACAGAATTCAGGAATCTTATGGTCACATTTGACCCTGGAGTTAATTATAGAAAGCTCAGAACTTAACGCATCTTAAAAAGAATAGCACAAAATCTCTTGAACCACATTAAAATGGCCTTGAAGCTCTGAGAATAATCGATACAAGTCAGGAAGTGCTCAATTAATGACGAAACCTACAAATAACTAAGCTTAATGGAGCGCAATGCCAGAGATGCAGCCAGAACTATGGGGCATTGCCTCAGGAAGTGGAAGTTTTACACCTAATTGATGTCTCATGATTGTCGGTGTAGCTGGCCCTTTAATTTTATGAACTTTCCCCTTTGTGCCAATGACAGGAAAGGGCAGAGGGAGGTGGGGGTGCGGTGGGGAGGGGTATTGCCCCATACCCAGATTTGTTTTGCTTTCTCAGAATTTCTTATCAGAAGATCCACACGTGGGGGTGGCCTGGGGGTGACCAGCCAAGTAGCAAGTTCTGACTTTCAAGGACAGCTTGCAAAAGATAGGTTTTGCTTAGAGATTTTGAACTGCAAAGTCCTCAGACATAGGTCTATTCAAGGAAGTCATTCTGTGCTAGGAAGAGATGACTCTGAAAGTTGAATGAACAGCACAGGGCTGGCTGACCACCTCTCGTCATTTAAATGATAGATTTCAACCCTGCACAATGTGCCGAGTGAATTCAGTAAGCCCTTTACCAAATAATTCCCTTGGATTATTAAAATTCAGCCCATTTTTTTTTTTTTTTTAGCTAACGTATCTTTCTCCAAGCACTGTATTATCAAGGGTTGGGTTTGAGCTAAGTAATAAAGTAATATACAGATGAAACACGATTCTAATTTTCTGATTGGAGAGACACAGAAAAGTGAACAGACCTCTTCTAACCTAGAAAATCAGTGGAGAAACTGGGAAAAGGATTCCCTGATGCCCTCTCCTGGGTTTTACTTACTCAGTTTTTATCACCTTTTGGCTAAAATTGTAACCAACTTTGTTAGTATTTTGCCTCCAAGATACCCCTACACAAATGAGTTTTCTAAGTCCCAGTTAATGCTGTTAAAATGTACATATGGCATCAATTCTTGGTTTGGAGATATTTCCTGCAGAATGTTAGCATAAACTTTTATGCACTCGTGGAGATTAAGGGTGAACGTGTTGTGGACGTGAACACGACTGGGAACGTAGTTAAAAAGAACAACCTTCTTCCTCATCCCCTGGTCATGAATTTAAACAGGAATCTTCTGCCCTGACCTGTCCTTCAGTCTCAGCTACTAAGGGACACCAATGATTCCTCTCCAAAACGTACCTGGGACTCCAGCCTATAAACGAAGAAAGCAAAGCTACTGGGCCTTTGTAATTCAGAGGCCTACGATTTTTTAAGGCAAATATTAGGATTTTTTTTGGGGGGGGGAATCCCTTATATTTCAATGTCTGGCGGAGTTATAGAAATAAGGACTACGGGCACCTGAAACTCCCGCTAGCCCGGCCAGCCAGCGGGGAGGCGGCCTCGTCTCAGATTGCACCCACTGGCCACTGAACTCACAACAGAAATGACAAGACTCAACATCCTTTCAAGCCTCACGAACGATAGTCTGTGAGATCGGGCTACTGGGAAGGCGGTTTCCCTTGAAGACTCCATTTCTCTTTTTCCCAGGCTTGTCTTGCCTCTCAGAGGTGCTGAGCACGTAGATAAACAGTAATGTGGTACCAACCGTGAACTGCTGGCTCTGTCGTCGCCGTTGGGTCTACAGACGGGAACAGAGGATTGGAGGAAGGGAAGAAACAGGAGGAACGGCATGCAAAAAAAGGGAAAATGGAAAAAAATGGAACAGATAATATATGAGCAAGCTTTCAAAGAACATCGCGTGACAAGCAATAATAAATGAAAAGCCAAAAGCATTTGAAGTGAGTTGCACTGTTTTAAGACATGCCTTCAGCTCAAAGCTGCGAGCCAGTGAGGAAAACAGTAAATTCTTTGGTTCTGGGGGGGTCTTGCCAGGACACATCTACTTGCTAGTCAATAGTCGGGGGAACATGCAAAGTGATGAGAAACACCAGTGCAAACTCAGTGACTGGTAGATGGCTCTGAACGCATCAAGGCTCAGGACTGTGACGGAAAAGCTGGCTGGACGACAGATTCATACATTCAAACATTGCCTTTGTTTTAACCCAACCCACCCGGGCACTTAGCCTTCATGACTGCCAATTAGGCGTCGCTGAATCAATTGCACTTTAAGCATCCTTTTCCGGCTTAAGCGCAGATGCCTGTAGATGAATATGTGGGTTCAAGTTTTCCATCCAGTGTGTTATTTCAGCAGAGTTTAGCTGGACAGTTCAGTGAACTGGGAGGCTACGGGAATTAACATGTTAAAGGCTTTCAGATTAGCTTCTCCACACGCACGCACGCATGCACTCACTACCGACCCATCCCTCACTCTGCAGATCTTGCTACTTGACAATCTATTTTATTTTATCTTTTCCCCCTTATCAGAGGCACTGGGGATTGAACCCAGGGGCTCGCACACGCCAAGCACGGCTCTATCACTGAATTCTATCTGCCCCCACCCCGCTCTGTGACAACCTACAAGTGGAAAGTCTGCACTGGAAACACCCAAGTCCACGCAATTTGCCAAATGTCACTTCTAATCATGTGACATTCCAAAAATTAAAGCATCCAGCCATCCCTTTGCTCACAGCCCAGAACCACATTCGCTGTCGGGAGCTGCCAGGAGTCCTGCCTTCGGGGCTGCGTTAGGACATGTCGCGTGATGGGTTTTCATTGCCAGATGCACTTGCTGTGGAAGAAACTGCGGCCCGTCTCTTTCTTCTTCTGTTTCTGATGCCATTCAAGTTTCCTCCTTCTACTGGGCTTCAAAACCAGCCCTGCTGTGTTGGTTCCTCTTCACAGGAACATCCTCAAGGGGTTCGAGACATTTTCTTCTACTTTTTGGCTAGAGAGGAAGTGGAATAAATACCTAACAAAATGCACGATGGTATTCTTTTTCCAGAGTCGTTTTAACACCATTCCTCTAGCCAACTTCATTCCAATGTCAACCCATCTGGCCGTGTTTTAATTTTTAGCTCTACCCTCTCAAGGTGTCTTCCTCCACGAGCCTCTTCTGGCCAGAAAGGAGTGGTGACAGCGACACAGGAGCTGGTCACGTGGAGCTGAAGTGGGATTCTGGGTTAACCCTGCAAGTAGTTATTTCTTCTTCTTCTTCTTCCTTTTTTTTTTTTTCCTAATGCAGCTATTTAGCTGGTAATTATTTCCATGAGTTCTGGAGAGTTCAAAAGACTCCGACTTGAAACAGGCAATGTTTAAATGCACTAAAATGCCAAACATATCTTTTTTTTTTTTTTTTGGTCCAAGGAGCCTGGTGCTTCTGATTTATAAACATGACACATGAATTCACACCGGTGTTCCCCTTCATTTGGCATGCTTTCCTCAGGACCCTAGACCTTCAAAAAGTCAGAGCCCTCCCAAGGAGCCAGAATTAACCAGACGTCTGAGAGGCCACTGCAGTTTAATATAAATTATAGTTGAGCTTCTGAAGAATAGATGAAGGAAAGAAAGACATAAACCACATAAGAGCACAATACTTACTTACAAGTCAAGTCTGTATGCATAACATAGCAGTTAAAAAACAATCCCCCAAATTGTGCAGTTGAAACATCTCTACATCAGATGCTCATGATACAGCTGACAGGTCTCCTTCTTGAAACATCTAAGTCAAGTCTTATGGTAGGGGGGCAAAAATCAAGTGCACGTTTGTACAGGAACCCTTATATGCATGTAAATACATTTTATGGTGAGGCACTGGCTCCTTTCCAAAATTAAAAAAAAAAAGCAATAAACACTTTGTCTTGTTATTTTTGTAGCTGCACTTCTAATAGGCTTTATTTTCACCAGGTAAGTCATTAGTATAAGAGGAAAGAAAGAGGTGGAGTAAAACTTAAGGGTCCTCAAAAATCGTTATCTTAGCAGTAACCAATGACTCCCCAGTTTACTGTCTCCCCACATCACGGTCAGAGAAGTGACTCTGACCGGGAAGCGTCAGCTTCCCTGTGGGGCAAGACGATAAACAGAGGCAGGTTCACAGTGCAGCTTGCTTCCCCATTCTGGGGATTGGAAATCCATCAATTGCACCCAACGGGGAAGAGAACGAGATGTTGGGAAGGAAAACACACAGTTCTGAAACAGTTAAAAGCAAACACATGTTCAAGTCAAACAACACAGGTGCTGCTGTCTCTGGAAATGGCAGAACCACGATCAGCCAGGGGTGGGAGACAGGCAGCAGAAATACAGGCTGGCTACAAAGTTTAGACGGAGATTGAGGGTGTATCGGGGGAGTCGCTGATTTCATTTCTCTAAGAGCATCTGGTGTGGTATCTGAACAGAGGCTATTTCAAGTAAAGAATGAAAAAAAAAATCTTTAGAAGTGACTTTGTGCTCCCCGCAGGAGAGTGCTATGACAGAATCTAATTCTCCTTCATAATTGCATTACGACTTCATGCAGAAACCACAGACACCCTGGCTCTGAAGTGAGTGCTGCTCTGTGAAGTAGGATTTATTAAGGTATCTTAATCAGGAGACTGGAGAGATGTGCTAGCCCACCCCTGTGAATCAACTTGTGGGGTCACTATATTGTTTGATAACATTCTAAGTGTACAAGCAAAACGCAGACGGTAAATTTACAATATAAGGTAACTTACACTGAAATTAACTTGAGAAACGAGAGTGCCTAATTGCCCTCACAAAGGCTTTTTTTTAAACTTCATTCTGTTGCTGCCTTTAAAAAATAATCTTTGCGCTAAGCCTAGGAGAAAAATAGGTCCCTAAAAGTTGAGCTGGACTTATGATGGTGTAGGGTTATGAAATTAAAAAGGCCTCATTGAGCTACTGTCTGTAGTTTCATTTTAATCACAATGAGGGCGAAATTTATTGTGCATTCCTTTTATATGGTCAAGAGGAAAACAATCCCATGTTCTCGCAAACCCAGTTAAGTGTGGACCATCTTAATAGTCATTCTCTGGCTGCTTTATGAGTATAATTAAACACGGTATCCAAGGGCAGGGCCAGCACTGCTATTTGAAAGATGAGCATTTCACTAAATATCGACTTCTCAGTCTCCCAGCCACACAGTTTATGGGGACCCTACCTTGAATAAATTAAACATCAACTATATTTCACGTGGCAGGATAAGGTATCTCCAAAAGGAAAAGGCTCGGACAATGGGTGAGATTAGAGACACTAGGCATTTAACCAAGTAGCAAAAAACAAACAAACAAACAAAAAAACCAACAACAAAAAAAATCCTGCATGCGAGACAGCTGGGCAATATTTAGTTGAAACAGTCATGTGTAAGCTCCACTGTGGCAGATTCTAATCCTTTCATATGGATTCTCTCCAACTTAGAATTGTTCATTGAGTGTGACAGACTGGGGGTTTAAAACTAATCCATAAATTAGTCCGTGGTCTCAAACACAACGGGTGCCATAAATGAAAATGAAAATCCGAGAACAAAATTAAATTCACAACCTTAAATACTTTCTCTTCTCCAATTGCTCTGTGGTTCCCTGCAAGGCTGCATTTTTGGGGGAGGTATGGGGGTGGGGTGCGAGTATGGTGTATGTTAAAAAAAAATGCCCAGGGTAATAACCCGGAGAACCCAATCTGCTCGAAAGCAGAGCTTAATTGTAAAGAGTTTAAATTCTGCCATTTTGATTGTCATAAGCTGAAACGAACGCATACTAAGCAGTCCAGACATATTTTAATACACTTTCCCTCAGTTTATTTTCTTAACTCAAGTCAATAAGGAGCCAATGGGTTTTCTTAATTGAATTCCCCTTCAGCTTGTGTTACAGAGCTGCTTTAAATCTAGACGCTGGGGCAGGCAAGGAATTCCCCTGACAATTTTATTCTCAGCATCGTGCTGCGCTGGCCAATATATATTAAATATAGTTTTTCCTTTCCTTCTCTTTCTTTCTTTCCTTTTGACATATCTGAAATCTATTGAAAGCAAACATATGTGCTGGAAAATTAAACTTTGACGTTTATTTTCTACTGGTTTCCCGGTTAATTCTCTCTCCATCTATGTTAGGCTTTAATTAAACTCCCAATTCTCTGGAAAGGGAGAAGTCTTAGAAGAGAACGGAAGCTAATAGGCCCTAACAGGAGGCCCAGAATAAAGCTCTCTTATGTCTCAATGTCACCTCCCCTTTGAGTGAAGAGGCTGTGCGCCACGGGACAGCAGAAAGGGGAGCAGTTTTTTGTTTCTGTTTTTGGTTCCGCGATTTCAAGTTTTGTTAAAAGTGTCTTCAGAGTTGTTCACGGGTGCTGCCCTGCCCCTGAGATCATTTCATTTGCAAACCATATGTTCAGAAAATAATAGGAATCTGTACAGTGGTTTCATTTAACAGGGAAAACAATTGCTATCCCACGTTGTGTGGGAATGCTGGGTGGGGGAGGGACAGAGAGGGGCAAGGCGTGGGTGAGGCAGGAGGAGAGGGTGTTGCAGGAGGGTGACGGTGGCGGAGAGAGGGGAGCGGCTCTAGGCACAGCATCTGACATTCACCTCGTCTTAGACGCTGAAGGGCTGGGTCCTTCCTGTCATGTACTTAATTCCCCTACAAAGACAGCTCCAACCACCACTTCTAATCCTGAGAAACTTGCATTTTAGGATATTATTTTTTTGCACCATTGTGCATAAAAATCTTTCGTATGAAAACATGTCAGTTCTTTCTC